TTCTCATTGATTTACAGAACCATATTATCCTTCAAGTGAAGGAATATATTAGTCACATATTTTGGAATATTAGTGGAATGACCCATTCAGTAGTTATTTCACTCAATAATCTAAATAAAAGGTGTTTTTCTGGAGTTCTTCGGAGGCAAAGGGACAAAGATACATTACAAGTTATTTTTTAAGAATTAGTGGTAACTAGAGGAGGCTGGCTGGCTCAGTCAGTTAGGCATCCAACTCTTGATTTTGGCTCAGGTCATGATCTCAGGGTTTGTGAGATTGAGTCCCACATCAGGCTCTGTGCTGTCAATGGGGAGCCAGCTTGGGATTCTCTCTCTCCTCTCTCTGCTCCCTCCTCTGCTCATGTTCTAACTCTCTCAAAATGAATAAATAAACATTTTTAAAAAGAGTAGTAACTAAATATAAAAATGGAAAGATATATTAATTAACAGGCAATTTAAAAATCACAATTTTTTAACAAACATAAGAATATGTCTAATCTTACTAGTAACAGATCTATATTTTAAAATAATAACATGTCATGAATAGACACTTCTCCAAAGAAGACATCCAGATAGCCAACTGACACATGAAAAAATGCTCAACATCACTCATCATCAGAGAAATACAAATCAAAACCACAGTGAGATACCACCTCACACCTGTCAGAATGGCTAACATTAACAACTCAGGCAACAATAGATGTTGGCGAGGATGCGGAGGAAGAGGATCTTTTTTTGCACTGCTGGTGGGAATGCAAACTGGTGCAGCCACTCTGGAAAACAGTATGGAGGTTCCTCAAAAAACTAAAAATAGAACTACCCTACGACCCAGCAATTGCACTACTAGATATTTATCCAAGGGATACAGGTGTGCTGTTTTGAAGGGACACATGCACCCCAATGTCTATAGCAGCACTGTGAACAATAGCCAAAGTATGGAAAGAGCCCAGATGTCCATTGATGGATGAATGGATAAAGAAGATGTGGTATATCTATACAATGGAGTATTACTCGGCAATCAAAAAGAATGAAATCTTGCCATTTGCAACTACATGGATGGAACTAGAAGGTATTATGCGAAGCGAAATTAGTCAGAGAAAGTCAAGTATCATATGACTTCACTCATATGAGGACTTTAAGAAACAAAACAGATAAACGTAAGGGAAAGGAAGCAAAAATAATACAAAAACAGGGAAGGGGACAAAACATAAGAGACTCTTAAATATGGAGAATAAACAAAGGTTACTGGAGGAGTGTGGGAGGGGGGATGGGCTAAATGGGTAAGGGGCATTAAGGAATCTACTCCTGAAGTCACTGTTGCACTATATGCTAACTTGGATGTAAATTAAAAAATTAATTAAAAATAAATAAAGGCAATGAGATATTTAAAAACTGTTTATAGAATAGGGTAAAAATAGAGATAGAAGAAAAGAAAAATAAAGATAAAAACCATACAATTTAAAAAATAATAAATAAATAAAATAGTAACATGTCATTTTTGCCTACACAATTTATTAAGGTTGAACAAAAATAATATCCTACATTGATAAATATATTAGAACAGCACTCAGATATTGCTGGTAGAAATTTAATTTGATGCAACTTTTCTGGTGGCCATTTTGACAATGTGTTTCAAAAGCCGTTAAACATGCATATGCTTTGACCCTACATTCTACTTCTAGAAACATATTCTAGGAAAATAATCATGAATGAGAATATAAATAAGGTATAAGCATATTACATAATTTTCAGTACTGAAAAACTAAAAACAACCTAGATAATGGGGAATTTGTTAACTAAAGTATGAGTCATACAATCAATCATTACTATATAATGATTATAATACAACCATATGGAAGTAAACAAGATATCACAATATTAGAATACTATGCATCTTTAAAAAATTTTTTTTAATGTTTATTCATTTTTGAAAGACAGAAACTGAGCACAAGCAGGGGTGGGGCAGAGAGAGGGGGGGACACAGAATCTGAAGCAGGCTCCAGGCTCTGAACTGTCAGCACAGAGCCCGACATGGGGCTCAAACTCACAAACCACGAGATCATGACCCGAGCCGAAGTGGGACACTTAACCACCCAGGCGCCCCTAGAATACTGTGCATCTTTTAAAAATGAGAAAGTTCTGTACATATCAAAACAGAATTATCTATATTATATATTTCTAACTAAAGAAAAGTTATGTGCAGAAATGTGTATATGGCATACTGCCATTTCTGTAAAAAAAAGAAAAAAGAAAAAATTACATACACATATTTGTTTCATTAAGCATATATTATATCCGGAAGACATAAGGGAATACCTACGGAAAAAAGAAATGAGTATCTAGAGACAGAGTAGGAATATACTCTTGTATACTCTTGTGTACCTGTGGATTTTGAATCATGTGAATATATTTCTATTTCTATAAGTATAATAATGTCATAGAATATTAAATAACATAGGAAGGAGTTCTGCTTTCAATTAAGCTAAGTAAGTTCCTATCAGACCAACCCTCCCTTAGATAACTATAAACTTGGGATGTAATACAAACTATCAGGCACCTGCGTGGCTCAGTCGGTTAAGTATGTGACTTTGGCTCAGGGCATGATCCCGAGAGATCATGGGTTCGAGTCCTGAATCAGGTGAGCTTGAGCCCCACTTGGGTGAACACAAGCCCCACTTTGGGTGAGCCCCACTTCTCTCTCTCTCATTGTCTCTCTCTCCCTCCCTCCCTCCCTCCGTCTCTCTCTTTGCCCTCACTTGCGCCCTCTCTCTTTCTCAAAAAAATACAGACTACCTGAAGGTTCTTTACAGTGAACAAAAGCAGGAAAATTCTGGAGGGGGACATTTGGAAGATGGGATGAAACACAGGATAAATTTCCTATTTGTGTTCTGGCTTTAGCTCAAGGGAAGGCCACAGTCAATGCTGTGCAGTATTGTGCAGGTATTTACAGAAAATCTCCGTCTTTCTGGCTTGAAGAACCAGAGGTCAACCACAGGTACTAGAAAGGGAAGGAGGAATCCCATAAAAGATGGAGTTACAGAGAAGAACCCACAAATTCTGTGGGAAAAAAAAAAACCTGCCCAAATCTCCATCTGCTGTGTGAATCGCCATGTCAGGCAGTTTGCAAGCAGCTCAGCTAAAGATGAAAGAACTTAGCTGAAATTTGAGTTGCCCGCCCGTTGGGTTTACAGATTGAGTACAACCAATTAAATTGTCTGCCAAATCAAGAGTTATTTCTTTTTAGGTGAGTTTTGGTGGTTTGTGGCTTTCAAGGAATTAGTTCATTTCCTTCACTTATTGAATACACTTAGAGCTGTTTGTAGTATTCCTCTATTACCTTCCTTATTGTGCTGTGGTTGATAATGATATTTCTCTTCCTGACATATAACTTGTGTTGTTTTCCTCTTTTTCTTTGTCAAACTGTCTACAGTGTATCAACTTTATTGCTCTTTTCAAAGAACCAGCTTTTGGTTTGATCAATTTTCTCCACTGCTTTGTTATTTTCAATGTTATTGATTTCTGCTCTTGTTTTTATTATTTCCTTACTTGACTGGGATTTTTGTTTCGTTTGGTTTGTTTGATTCATTTTGTTTCCTTTCTTTTTTTTTATTTAAAAAAATTTTTTTAATGTTTTTTTATTTTTGAGAGAGGGAGAAACGGACCACAAGTGGGGGAGGGTTAGAGAGAGGAGACACAGAATCCGAAGCAGGCTCCAGGCTCTGAGCTGTCAGCACAGAGCTTGACGTGGGGCTCAAACTCACAAACCAGGAGATCATGACCTGAGCCCAAGTCAGACGCTTAACCACCTGAGCCACCCAGGCGCCTCCATTTTGTTTCATTTCTTAAGGTTGAAAGTTTAAGTATATTATTGATTTAAGACCTTTCTTACTATGTTCTGTGAGCACTAAATGCTATAAATTTCTCTGTAAGCACTATTTTGCTGCATCCCATAAATTTTGGTATATTCATTTTCACTTCATTCCACTCAAAATATTTTCTAATTTCCCTCGAGACTTCTTTTTTTGACCCATAGATTAAAAGTATGTTGTGCAATTTCCAAGTATTTGGGGACTTTCCAGATATCCTTCTAAAATTGATTTTTAATTTAATTTCATTATCACCAGAAACCATCCTTTGCTCACTGTTTCTTTTAAATTTGGTAAGATTTGTTTTATGACCCAGGATATGGGTAATCTTGATGTTTGATGTGCACTTGAAAAGAATATATGTTACACTGTTGTTGGGTGGAGTATCCTATAAAAAATCAGTTAGATATAGTGGTTGATGGTATTATTCAGGTTTTTTATTATCCTTGCAGATTTCCTGTCCAGTGGTTCTTCTGATAACTAAAAGAGAAGTACTGAAGTCTCCAATTATAATTATGAAATTGTCTATTTTTCCTTTGAATTCTGTCAGTTCTTCATGTATTTTGAAGTTTTGTTGTTAGATACATATATATTTACCAGAGAAACATAATAAGCCTAAAATAACCTGTCTTTGATTATGTAGTGTCCCTCTTTCTCCCTGGTATTTCATCTTGCTCTAAAGTCTAATTTGTCTAAGGGCACCTGGGTGGCTCAGTCAGTTGAGCATCTGACTTAGGCTCAGGTTTGTGGGTTCAAACCCTGCATCAGGCTCTGTGCTGATAGCTCAGAGCATGGAGCCTACTTCAGATTCTGTGTCTCCTTCTCCTTCAGCCCCTCCAGGCTCACGCTCTGTCTTTCTCTCTCTCTCTCTCTCTCTCTCTCTCTCTCTCTCAGAAATGAATACATGTTTAAAAAAATTTAAAAATAAAAGAATTATTATCCTCTCAAAATTATATAGTGCTTCAGTCATCTCAGAGGAAAAAAAAGCTTACAATATCAGTTTACAAAATTTCAGTTTAATAAAACTATATCTCTACTAAGAATAATTCCCCCCAAACCAGATTTTATCAGATCCACATTATACCTAGATAAAATATAATTTTTCATTCTGATATTATTTCAATGATAAAATTACCTTTGTGCTTATTCAGAAGCTTGTAGCCTTCACAGTATCTGCCTGGTGAAAGCATCATCTTGGCTGTGTCAAGATAAGAGTATGTTGCAGCAAAATCAAACTCCGTTTTACCGTCCCACCAACCTTTCTGCTTAGCATAGTTTCTCAGGTCTGGATGTTCCCGATCAATCTTGGTTGTTATAGAAAGCTGATTAGAAATATTACGACCTCCCTCTGTTTTCAAAGAAGAACAAGGAAAGGGAAGAGAAAAATTACATTTAACATACTGTATTTATCTGTACATTATAATTATTAACCACTATTTAAATGTGAATGTAGACTTCTATTACACACTCAAAGACATAAAAGAATTACTTAAAAAAAAATTTTTTTAAGTTTATTCATTTTGAGAGAGACAGAGCATGTGAATAGGGAAGGGGCAGAGAGAAAGGGAGAGAGAATCCCAAGCAGGCTCCATACTGTCAGGACAGAGCCTGACACAGTGCTCAATCCCACGAAATGTGAGATCACGACCTGAGCTGAAGTCAGACACATAAGTGACTGAGCCACGCAGGCACCCCCTAGAAGTTACTTTTTAAGAAGTAGTCATAAATAATATTAGAACAGAAATATAAGACTTTTCAAAATATCATGGCACTAAGTTATAACAAATTTTCAACTAAAAAACAAAACAGGTGGGAGGGAGGAGAGGGTGGGTGATGGGTATTGAGGAGGGCACCTTTTGGGATGAGCACTGGTTGTTGTATGGAAACCAATTTGACAATAAACTTCATATATTGAAAAAATAAAAATAAAAAATAAATAAAAAACAAAACAGAAGAAACAATAAAAACCAGTTCTAAAGAGATCATAGTAAATAAAAGAGATCACGAAAAATGAAAATTGATGAATGTTTTAAAACGGATTTAGAATAACACTCTAACAAGAAGAAATCAATTGCCCCCCAATTAGAAAACAATAAAATGTCTAAATTCACTTTTATATCTTAACACACAGGCAAAATATAAAATGAAATGTCCATCAAAACTGGCAATGACTTATTTTGAAAAATAACATCCAAATCCTCCAAAGCTCAAGGCTACCTTCATGAAGACTTTCTGAATTTTTCCAGTCCACAATTACTTTTCCCTTCGCTAATTGTTCACAGCATCTATGTGCCTGAATCATTCATGCAACATGTAATATTTTCTCATGTGTACCTTATCTCCCCTGTAAAACTAGGAGATCCAGGAGGTAAGTACATAGGAAGTACATGATCATGCTTAAGCACAAGACTGTACTCTAATGAAAGAATATTGAACTGAGAGTCAGGATGGAAAGATTTAAATTCTAAGCCTTTCAATCACTGCCTTGAGGAAATCACATCCCTTTTCTGGATTTCCTCACTTTAAAAATGAAAGGAATATTTGATCACAAAGAAACCACGAAAAACATGTAAAGCATCCCAAAACAATCAAATTGTGTTACTTTACTCAGTGTTTATGCTTTACTATAATATCAACATATTCTTTCCAACCCTAATGGACAGACACAAATCCCCAGCAACACTCCCCTTGCCTTACCTCCTTATGCATGTGTGATCAAATTTTTGAGTTCAGCCCAAAGGTAAATGAGGAAGAAATGGCAAGGGGTTATTAAGTGGAAAAGTACTATAAAACAGCCAAGAGCAGCTGCACAGAGAATATATACAGGTCATATAAAATTAATATCATAATATGAAAAAGAGATAACATTATCTTTTCCTCTTTTTCAGAAAAGTTTTTTATAGTGCTCTTTCACTATTACATTCTTTCACATTTTTTTTTCATTTCCCCTGCACTTTAACCCTTTATTGCACTGGATTATAAATCTTGAGAAACAATTAAATGCAATGTCTACAGTTAAGGGGGTTATTTTATTAATTGTAAAACAAACTAAAACCAAATGAAATCATGAGAAGTTGTCCATACCTTGTACTTTTTCTGCTGCCCAGTACTTCCCTGCAGTCTCCAGAATCCAGGCTTCTTTCCTATCAGCTATCAGGAAACTGTTGTGATAGCTGAATACCATCCTACCCTCTGAACAATTTCCACCCTGGCCATATTTTTCTAATAGATCAACAATGACATTGAGGGCTTTTTCAGCTGTATCAGCTCTTTCAAGGCCAAGTCTAAAATAAAAATATTAAAGTTCTCAGATTAAAATAACTTTCCATTATTTTTCTTAAATAATTTCATGTACATGAGATTTTATTTTATATTCAAAATAAAAGTTCTTTTTTAAGAACTTTATCTGTTTTAAGCTAACAGATAAACTGAAATCCAACTTTTAAAAAATTTTTTTTAACGTTTACTTATTTTTTTTTAACGTTTATTTATTTTTGAGACAAAGAGAGACAGAGCATGAATGGGGAGGGTCAGAGAGAGGGAGACACAGACTCTGAAACAGGCTCCAGGCTCCAAGCTGTCAGCACGGAGCCCAACGCGGGGCTCGAACTCACAGACCGCAAGATCATGACCTGAGCCAAAGTCGGCCACTCAAAGACTGAGCCACCCAGGCGCCCCAACGTTTATTATTTTTGAGAGAGACAGAGAGACAGAGACAGAGCACAAGAGAGGGAGGGGCAGAAGAGAGCGAGGGACACAGAATCTGAAGCAGGCTCCAGGCTCCAAGCTGTCAGCACAGAGCTCAGTGCAGGGCTCGAACTCACAAACTGTGAGAACATGACCTGAGCCAAAGCTGAACGCTTAACTGACTGAGCCACCCAGGCACCCCTGAAATCCAACTTCTAAGCCATTCCTTCTGAAGTCAGTTTGAAATCATGAAAATAAAGTTTTTGGAGTGAAATAGCTCAATGTTAAAATTCCAATGTGGTAACTTATTGCCAAGTTGCTTTATCTCTGTACCTCAGGTATCTCATCTGTAAAATGAGGATAATATATGAGGTTACTGTGACAATTAAGGTCTGATAAAGTATATTTGGTATTTCCAATAAACCATAATTTTCAACCCCTTCTCTCAATGATATTTGAGTCTTCAAATTACATGCCTATATGGGCATACTTTGGAGATAATGCAGGAGCAGTTACAGGCCACTGGAATAAAATGAATATTGTGAAAAGTGAGTCAAATGAATTTTTTGGTTTCCAAGTGTATATAAAAGTTATGTTCACACTATACTGTAGTCTATTAAGTATGCAACAGCATTACGTCTAAAAAAACAATTATATACCTTAATTTAAAAATTAATTTAAAACTATTGCTAAAAAATGCTAACCATTATCTGAGCTTTCAATAAGTTATAATCACTGATTACAGATCACCATAAGAAATATAATAATAATAAAAAGTTTGAAATAGTGTGAGAATTGGGGCGCCTGGGTGACTCAGTCAGTTGAGCATCCAACTCTTGGTTCTGGTTCAGGTCATGATCTCACAGCTCATGAGTTCAAACCCCACATCGGGCTCTGTGCTGACAGTGCAGACCTGCTTAGGATTCTCTCTCCCTCTCTCTGCCCCTCCCCCATTCATGCTGTCTCTGTCTCCCTCAAAATAAATAAATACACTTAAAAAATATACAAATAAAAAAAATAGCGTGAGACACAAAAATCGTGTGAGATACCAAAAGGTGACACAGAGACACAAAGTGAGCAAATGCTATTGTAAAAAATGGCACCAACAGACTTGCCTGACACAGCATTGCCACAAACCTTCCATTTCTAAAAAATGCAGTATCTGTGAAGTGCAATAAAGGAAACCATAATAAAGTGAGGTATGCCTGTATTCTAAAGCATTTGAACACAAACTATGAAGTATCGACATCCCCAAAATGGGACAAAAATAGGAAAATAAAACTGGCAAGAGTTATGCCAAAATTAAAATTTTAGACATGGTCTATACCAGAAAAATATAATTAAAAAATAACCTGACAAGATCCATGCCCAGTAGCGCCTCTTCATCACACACTTCTTCTCTTCCCCATACAGCTTCATTCCCAATGCAAACTCCATGCTCGTTGGCTCCCATTTCTGCCCCCCATAACCAAGCTGGGCGACTGAGGACAACAGCATATGTTTCAGGAACTTGATCAATTTCTATGTAAGTACACTGTAAAGAAAGGCATAACAACGACCATAAAACCAAAAAAGAAAAAGTTACCAAATTCTAGAATCCTAAAAATCAGAAGACATGCCCGTTATGAAATAAAGTATAACTAACTTAAAAATTTCAATAATAAAGTCATTACCCCTAAAACATATTCAGAATTGACCCTAAAGCTTTTATTCATTCAAATATTTACTAAGCATCTCCTCTTATAAAGTACTCTACTAAGAGATATGTTAGTTACAAAGATGAAGTAGATACAGATCTTGCTTTCAAGAAACTAAGACTTGCACATTAACTAAAATATAACAAAATGTAAAGTATAAGGGCTGTGAAGAAAAATAAAAATGAGGTGCTAACGGAAGCTCAGTAGAGAGATAGTTTCTAGTTGTGAAATCTTGAAACATTTTGTAGAGGAGGATGTATTGAGTTGATGCTTAAGGGAGGAGACCTCAATCTCAATGTCTAGTATTTCTTAATTAGTGACCTAAGTCCCATATGTTGGCCCTTACATACAAGAGAATTGCTTGTATGAATTACATACAAGAGAATTATGTAGCATGTGAAAGTCAACCATCCGGTATGTCCACAGTAGTGAAAAGAATAAGAACCACTGGCTTCAGAACAGGAGAAATTTAAACATAAAGAGAGAAAGTGGAAAGGGACCCATGATGAATAAATAGTCTCAGCAAAAGAAAAAAAAAATTTCCCTGTATACAGAAAACATCTTATTTAATATATTTTATTATTATTATATCAATAAAATGAAATCTAAAAAATATATGTTAGCAATAAAAGCATAATATGAAACTTTAAGTTCTGTGTTGAATGGGTTTTTAATAAAAATTTTTTAAAGGATCATTTAATTAATGTGTGTACTACTGAATGATTGCATAAAATGCATATTAATAATGTAACCACAGGGCCCCATAAACCTTTTTTGATGTTAAAACTGTTATTTCCAGAGATTGGAATGACTTTCTCTATTCTACACCAATCAGAATCCTTTTTGGCTATCAAACTCCAGCTGAATCCCAGCTCCTGGGGAAGCCTTCCTCGATCTCTAGTCTGAATGAATTGCTCCTTCTCTATTGCTGACACAACTGGTGGCTCTTATTAAAGCATCCCACTTTACAATGGGGTTAATTACATATACATCCTATTCCTCTACTAGACTCTAAGCTCCTGGAAGACAGAACTAGTCTTGACAGCAGGCGTTAAATCCTTGCCCTATTTGACATGCTTGCATATGATAAACATTTAAATATTTGATCAAAGAATCAACAACTATTTCTATTGTTTTTTCAGCTTCCTCCAAATCACTGAAATAAAAGACCAGAAGTCTAATTCTGACTCAAATTATTTTTCAAATTTAAATTCTTGAATTTTTAACTTCTAGAGTCTCTGCCAAATAACTAGCTAATTAAAAAGCTGCTTATGATACTTTTAAAGAAAACTATTGCTAACAAAACATGTACTTCACCTACCTGAAGATGTTCTCTCAGGTTCTCATGAACTGCAGCAGGAAAATAAACTACCTCCTGTACTTCATCACACAATCTATCTGAATTTTTTCCAAAAATAATCCTGTTATCAACCGTTGCTGGAGGTAATGCCACAAAAGTATCACAGGAACAAGGTTCCATTTTTTAAAAACTAAAAAAACATATAGAAGATTCAAAATAAAAAGGGAGAAACATTTTTAGTATATACAAAACAAAGAGTTTTACTTGACAACCAAGGGATGTTATTGCCATATCAAATAAAGAGTGTTCATGAACGTTTTAAACTTTATACTGCACTACAAAAATCTGTAAGAAAATGGCTTGGGAATGAATCTTGTACTACAAGAATCAATAAGAAAATGACATTACAAGTAACTTCTTCTAGTCTATAGGTTAAATTTATCCTCTAAGATCTTTCTCTCCCGAAGTTTTCCCTGAATCTCCTATCAGTATTTCCATATTTGGGAACCCATGCACTTTACTGCTATGAAGACTATATTTGTGTACGCCTATGAGTTTCCATATTTGTGCACATATATGAGTCTCCTTCTGGACAATAAGACCCATGAGGGCTGGGAGCGTGCTTTATTAATCTTTGTACTCTCATCACCTGAAGTTATGAAATGTCCCAGTATTTCCTCAAAGGAAGGAAGGGGTCTCCTTTGAGCTGGAGAAGAATACACCCAGATTATAATACTGAGAAGACTGAAATTTTAAGACTCACTGAATCAGACGAATACAAAAACATGTCAATCAAAATACCAAACTGTTGATATGTCTAGGAAGAAGTTCACATACATAACTTATAAATCCTGATTGTTGAATTTAGTATCAAGATTGTGTCTTCATTTGTAATTTGGAAAACCTGAAATCCTCAGTTTTGGTAGATCATATTTGCTTCCAGAATGGACATACTGTTTTAGAGTTTCCTGCTTTCCCTTATTTTATAATGCCCAAACTTTAGAATCGCTTTACACAAACAGATACTAGCAGTTTATTTTATTAAAAAAATTTTTTTTGAGAGAGAGAGAGAATCTTAACCAGGCTCCATGGTCAGCGACCCTGGGATCAGGACCTGAGCAGAACTCGAGATTGGATGATCCACTGACTGAGTCACCCAGGTAACCCATACTAGCAGTTTAAAAACAAAAAGTAAGTTTAATAAATGTTTCATTCAAAAGAAAACAAGTGACTCAAGTAAGAAAGAAACACATTCAGCCTGAAACTCCTAACACTTTACTCTTTTCTTGTTGTTGAAAGAGGGAAGTCACGATTGCTGCTGTTCTTTTCTGTGTAAATTTCAACCTTTATGTCCGAGGTCCAGTTCTATTTGTGTTCCAAAGTTAGTTATACCACTGCATGACCTTGGCAAGCTATTCAATCTCGAACTAAGCCTTCTGCCTCATCGGTAAATATCTCAGGAGGCTGTTAATTAGAATTTAAAAAGACAGTGTGTAAAGCGTTTTTGCACAGTGCAAGGAACATATCAGACACTCAAATGAAAGCTGTTATTATTGGGCAGAAGAGTATATTTCTCATAAAAGGCTTCTTCTTGTTATCATACCCACCCCCTCCTTGCTGAGGATTTGGTTGGTGGATCCCCTACAGCAAAGCAGCCACGTCCACTCAAAACCCTGGAGTCTGAAGGGCCGTTAAAATGCACTAGATGATCTATGCTAACTGGAGTCATACGAGAAGCTAAGGAAACACGCCACCTACTTAGGAAAACGCCTAGCACGTTTAGAAGGGGATGGCTTGAGAGTCTTTATTAACTCCCAGTACGCATTCATCATCAACAAATGTTTAAGAACATCTTTCTGAACCAGGCACGGTACAGCTGAGAATCCTCGCTCTTATGGAGTTGACATTCCATTCTATATGCTTTAGCGTTTTTAGAAATATCACATCGTTTGATCCACCCGATCCGTACGTACTACAGTTCGGACGAGAAGTACTATTTTCAAAACGCAGACGAAAAAACTCGGTGCGAAGAACTTTATGTACCTGGAGTCAGAGTTCACAGAATAAAGAGGACGAACTTCAAGCACCCCTTGCCACCCAGCACACACTCTGCACCCCAGCTGGCGGCGCTCAGCCCGCAGCCGGCTCACCCCAGACCCGGGGCCTCGCCCGGAGCCCCTCGGTCCCGCCGCGCCACAGCGCGCGGCTTCCCACCTAGCACCACAACTTTGCACGCCCCTGCCCCGTTCACGCCCCTCACCTGGCCTAGGAGCTACCCTCAGAGGAAGGGGTAAGGGGTGTGCTAGGGCGGGCGGAGGAGCTAGCGGCCGGAAGCTGTCACCTTTGACCGCGGAAGTTCCCGCTGCCACTGGAGGCGCAGTTCCGGTTAGGCGGCAGTATTTGTTTACGTTGTTCACAGTTCCAGTGGCCGCCGGCCCCAGCGTAGGCTTCAAGATGGGGAAGTCTTTTGCCAATTTCATGTGCAAGAAGGACTTTCATCCCGCCTCCAAATCCAATATCAAGAAAGTGAGTAAGGGGAGCCGGGTAGGGTTCTGGCTCTTGGCGCCTGGGATCCCCAGGGCTGGAGGTGATGAAAGTGGTTGTGTCTGTGGGATTTCTGGAACAGTCGCCGCTTCCCCAGGCCTGGCACCCTGGTCTTCCCGCCCCTTTTTCTCTGCTGAGAAACTCGCTAATAAAGCTGGCCTCGACGCTTATTCTCCATCAGCCGGGAGGCGGGCAGCCTTCGTCTGCCCGGTCGGCTTGTCATCTAGAATGTGTAAATCTGTAAGATACGAAGTATGATCATATGGTTCCTCGTTACTTTCTCAACTGTTTTTGGTTTTGTCTTTTCGGGTCACAGGGATCGTGGCTTCGGAGCTCTGCTATCCTGTACAAAGGTGATTCCCTGTTTATTTAAGATAGCTCTTAAGAGGGAAATAAAGGCACCTCTTTCTGTCTTTATCCCACCCGATAATGTAGCGTCTGCCTGGTGGACTCTTTGAAGTTTGGCTGTTTATTTTACTTAGTATTTTTTTAAATTGACGTGTATACAACATTACATTAGTTTCCGATATACAACGACGTTTGACTTTTTTTTTTAATTTTTTATTATTGTTTTTTTTAAGTAATCTCTACACTCAACGTGCAGCTCTAACTCCTGCCCAGGAAATCAAGAGGCGCTTGCTCTACCAACTTGGTCAGCCAAGCGCTCCCAGCACAATCACTTTTAGCCCTGAGATCTTACACAAATACTTAATATCCTTTATCCTCAGCCTCCTAATCTATAAATTTAAAATGAACAGTATCAGTTGCCTTGACTTGTGAAATTGTTATGAGGACTAAATAAGCTGGTATAGATAAAGGCTTGAAACAAAGTACCACATAGAGGGATTGCTCAATAAAATGTTAATTTCTCCTATACACATACTTATTTTTAGCCTGCTCCTAAAATGCATGTATTACTCAGAGCTTCATCCTTGGCCTATGCCTTACTTTATATGCTTTCCCAGGCAATCACGTCCAATTTCATGGTTTTAACTACTTCTTTACTCAGGACTCTCAAATCTACAGTCTCACATTTCTTCTCACAGCTTGGGGCATGTCAAGACAACTACATACTGGAAATTATCATCTTGACATATTACAGGCATCTCAAGCTCAACATGTCTGAAATGGATTATGTCTTTCATTCAAAATCTGCTCTTCATTTTACACTTCCTATCTCATGAGTAGGAAATAGAGGTGGTAACACACATCCTGTCACCCAACCCAGAAATTCAAGATATATTCCTTTTCCGTTACCCCTTTATCTAGGTAGCTAATAAATTCAATTTATCTTACCTTCCAAATATTTCGAATTCATCTCTCCTCTTTATCACTACTACCTGTTTTTTAGCTCAGACCCTCGTCATCTTCCACCTGAACTATTAAATTTCCTAACAGGTTTGGTTTTGGGGGGGCTTTGTTTGTTTGTTTTGGTTTTCTTGGCCTCCAGTCTTGACCCCTCTCAAATCCATTCTCCACATCGCTATCAGAATAATATTTTTTATTTGGCAACTTTATTGAGGTACAGTTCACATACTAGACAATTACCCACTTAAAGTGTACTGTTCAGTGGTTTTTAGTATATTCACAGATTTGTGCAGTCACCACCACAAACAATTTAGAATACTTTCATCATCTCCCCACAAGACCTGTATCTGTTAGCACTTATTCTCCATTTGTCCTTACCACCATCCCCGCCCCGCCCCCATCCCGAGGTAACCACTAACCTACTTTATTTCTGTGGGTTTGCCTATTCGGGATGTTTCCTAAAAATGTAATCATGCAATATATGGCCTTTTGTGGCTGGTTTCTTTCACTTACCATAACAGTTTTGAACTTCATCCATGTTGTGGAACGTGTCAGTATTGGATTTCTTTTTATGGCTTAATAATTCCATTGTATTGATAGAGTACATTTTATGTATCCATTCATCGGTTGAATATTTGGGTTGTTTCCATAGAGTGATCTTTTTAAAGCACAAATCTGATTGCTTGGCTTCTTAGTAAAATACTACAGGATTAAATCCTAGTTATTTGCATTCAGTTTATTTTTCCTTCTTCATCCCTTATTGCTACTCTCTTACCTCAGATTTTACACTCCAGTAATATTAAACTACTTAATTCTTATTTTGCACCTTTCGGCCTTTGTCTGAGCTTTTCCCTCTGCTAGTACTATCTTACCGTGTTTTTTTCCTTGGCAAATTTTGATCCTCTTCAAAACCCTGCTTGACATGTATGGTATTACTTATGTAGAGGGTTATTTGTTGAAGCAGAGTTTGTAATAGCAAAAGATTGGAAATTTCCTAAATGCCCATCAGTACAACAGGAGATTAGTTAACTAAATGATGGGATAGCTCCACAGTAAAATGATATTCAGCCCCTCCTCCCTCCAAAACCAAGAAACGTTTTTTAACTGACCTAGGAGTGATCTCTATGATACTCAATTTTATTTTATACATATTCTGTGTATACATGCAGTATATGTTACCATTTATGAAAAGAGTGAGAAAAGAATGTGTATGAGATATATATATATATACATATATATACATGTATGTGTGTGTGTATATATATATATATATACATGTATGTATATATATACGCACACATTGTTTTCTGTATATATGCATTAGAACATCTTTGGAAGGATATAGAAGAAATAATATCATTGGCTGCCTATGAATATATTTACTTAATTTAAAAATTAACTTTGGGCTGCCTGGGTGGCGCAGTCGGTTAAGCGTCCGACTTCAGCCAGGTCACGATCTCGCGGTCCGGGAGTTCGAGCCCCGCGTCGGGCTCTGGGCTGATGGCTCGGAGCCTGGAGCCTGTTTCCGATTCTGTGTCTCCCTCTCTCTCTGCCCCTCCCCCATTCATGCTCTGTCTCTCTCTGTCCCAAAAATAAATAAACGTTGAAAAAAAAATTAAAAAAAAAAAATTAACTTCTGGAGCATCTGGGTGGCTCAGTTGGTTAAGCGTCGCATTTTGGCTCAGGTCATGATCTCGTGGTTCATGAATTCCAGCCTCACTTCAGATCTTCTGTCCCCCTCTCTCTGCCCGTCCCTCACTCATTCTTTCTCTCTCTCTCTCTCTCTTGCAAAGTAAATAAATAAACTTTTAAAAATATATTGGTAAAAAAAATTTAACTTCTGAAAACCAAAACTTAGGCACCTGGGTGGCTCAGTCGGTTAAGCATCTGACTTCAGCTCAGGTCCTGATCTCATGGTTCATGAGTTTGAGCCCCACATCAGGCTCTCTGCTGTCAGTGCAGAGACCACTTCAGATCCTCTGCCCCCCCCCCCCGCCCCCCGCTTCTCCCTTGCGTGCGCTCTCTCTTTCTCTCTCTCAAAAATAAATAAAAATTAAAAACTAACAAAATAAAAACCAAAATTTGCTATAAAGTATTCCATTATACCAGCCTTCCTCCCTTCCTCTAAAATTAATCACCGTCTTGTTCTATTTCTTTATCTTGTGTGTATTCCTATTATCCAGATAGCAAACTTTGTTATCACTTACACAGTTCATTTTTTTATTCTGAAATAGCTTAAACATACTTTTTTTATTAGCAGATTCTGAGCATTTTGAAGGCTAAGAATGTGTTTTATTTTTATTCCAGTCCATGATACTCAGTATGTATTTCAGCTCTTGAGCAATTGAGACTGGTGAAATAACATTGTAAAATCTAAAACTTTAAATAAATGATAGTTATTCTGTTAGAAATGCCATGTTATGATTAGTGTGTTACTCTCCCAGGCAGTGACCCCTTGCATGTCTTTGTTGCAACTGTTTTCATTTTGAGCTGCAGTGAAAATTCCAAACATGTGCTTTTTACTGCCTATCCCAAGTGTAGGTTTTTCTTCTGTAACATTACACTGGTAAGTATGAAGTCAGTGGAGAAAACGTTCAGAAACTTATCCCAAAAGAAATTTTTGGTATATTCTGTCCCTGAAGAATTCTTTTCATTTCTGTTTTTGCTTTCACTTCCATATGAATTCCTACTTGTCCATCTCCCACTGTGTCCCCTTGGAACCTTCCTATTTCATCACTACTAAAATACTGGTGGGGCACCTGGGTGGCTCAGTCAGTTGACCTTCGAAACTCTTGGTTTCGGCTCAGGTCTTGATCTCATGATTTGGTTCAGTCTTAGCACTGATATTGCAGAGCCTGCTTGGGATTCTGTCTCTTCTTCTCTTTCTGCCTGAATGAGCCAGCGAGTGAGTGAGTGAGTGAGTGAGTGAGTGAGTGAATGAATACATACATACATGCATACACACATACAAACAAACTGGTAACTACCCCTGTTTTGCTTCTAAAATTAACTAACGGCAGCCTTGTCCCACACTTATTTGCCCCCACAGTTAATGACATAATTTTATCAATGTAAGTATTTGTCCTCTAATTTACCTTCTTAAAACCTAGCATGTTTAGAAAGTTTTGTGTGTGTGTGTGTGTGTCTGTGTGTGTTGTTTTGTTTTTGAGAGAGATCGCAAGTGAGCTCAGGGCAGTGAGAAAGATAGAGAATCCCACAAGTGGCAGAGAGAGGGAGAGAGAGAGAAAGAGAGAAGTGCGGCTTACCCGAAGTGAGGCACGTGCTCACCCAAAGCAGGGCTCAAGCTCACACGCTATAGGACTTGAACTCACGAACCGTGAGATCATGACCTGGG